AATTTAAAAAATTTCTCTGATCAAAACTTGCGTCCTCTACAAGGTAGCCATTAATGCAGTATATATTTGTAAAATCTCCTTGTATAGAATTTTTTCTGGTTCAAATCAGCTTTTTTGTACATTTAATGCGATGACTAATCCTATGGGAATAGTTGATATGGAAGAAGAACGAAGTTTTTATTGTGTTTTTAAACTGTGTTCGTTCAATATTTCTTAATTAAACATTTGTGATTTAGCTCATAATGAATGGTCAACTGATACTGGAAGAGAATTAATTTAAACTAATACAATTAATCACATGTAAAAAATGTTGTGCGACTATTAAATGAAAATCAATCAATGACTTAACAATATATAATGATAAATAGTTAGATTAACCATTTGATAACGATAGAACATATGTGGTACAATCTGTTTTTCAGTTGAGACAAAACGTTTCGTTTAAATAAAACTATTAGACCTACAAGACCGTATAGATTATAGGTGGCTTCATTTATCATATCATACTTATGTTTTCTTTCTTTCTAACATAATATAGTCAAACTTCTTTATGGGAGCATATCCTAGTACTGAACGGTAGGTAGTCTACTCAAGCGAATTTTGCTACGAGTAAGTCTTTCTAATATGAGCACTTATCTCTAGTCTCATGAGTAATAATAATCTCTGTAATGTGAGCAACAAATGTTCTATTAATCCTGTACAGAACGAGAAACAAATTGTTTTATGTGTGTCGCACAATGATAAAGAATAATGGAACGCGCTTAACAAGAAAATGGACTAATCGTGCATATTTAAAAGAAGAACAAAACAATATTAGACAAGTAGCTTGGTAAGATCAAATCATGTCAGTACGTATTGATTTAGCTCTGATTAAAAAAAGTTGACATAATAAATTGTTGGAAAGAAGAAAAAGATCATTCGTTCTGCTACTGTACAGTTACGTCATATACACATGATCTTGTTCTCATTGACGAATTTTCACTATTCTTGATTTTGAAAAACATTTATCGAATTTTTGTTCGCTACGATGTAGAGGTGTATCCACATCTTTATTCAAACAAACCTTTTGTTTTTTTACTTTTCCATGCGGAGGGAAACAAAATTATCTGTACTCTTCATTTCTTTATTTTCTGATTATAATTAAAACCAAATGTATGGAACTCTATGGAGATAACGAAGTCGATGAGAAGTTCTGTAATTCATATGGTAGTAACGACAGCAATGAGAGTGACTTCGATGTCAATTATAATGAATTAACAGACAATTTTGATGAAATTAGAGTTTCCGATATTTACAAGAAGAGGAAAATTTTTTTTTTGATTCGCAAAAGAATTTTTTTTCTGTAACCATATTTAGCCGAATAAAATGAAATGATTGAAGAAACACTTTCCAATTCAAAAAAAAAATCCATTCTCAAAAGGTTAATATTACAGATGCATAATTGAATAGAAAATAAATGCCTGTGCCTAAGTGAATTAACAAGTATTTTTCGCTCGCTTTGTTTTTTGTTGATCATGACTGAATGATTATTTTCTGTAACATTAATTGCTGCGCAACATTAACGCCATAAAACAAAAATCATTTGTGGTCATGTTGTGTACTTGTACAGAGGATATTTTGGGTTTTTTTTATTAATGTTGACTTGTATTTTTTTTTTTTGTTTAGACAAAATTTCATCGAATGAACTAAAGAATGGTAGCGAATTATTGGAATGAAGTGGAAGATATAACATTTTTCAGTATTCAACAAACTGAATAGTGCCAAGTATTGCTGAAATATTCTTAACGACAACAACTTCATCGAAATACATCAAGACTAAATAGTTTTACTTAAGACTTGCCACAATGGATGTTTTGAACTATACTTAACATCTGAGAGACATATTTGAGAAGTTTGTATTGTTAGTTATTCAAAACTTGATGAAAACGAAATTTACTTAATGAAGAAACTGGAGATTTTTGGAAAAACATGTTTTTCTTTTTAAGGATAAAGCTATAAATTTATCGAACTATTTTGATTAGATGATTATCGTATATTTTCGCTTCATTTTATTGTCTGTCTGCATGCATACATCATGATTTGATATAGCGGAGATATCAATGGTGTACAAATCAGGCACTATAAACATATATATATAGTATTTTGAAACTTCATCAAGCGTAGTATCTTATTTCCATCTCGATGATACCGCATGGCAAAGTGGTCTAAAATTAATTAATATATTAACTACTTTATTTTAACGACTATTCAAAGAATGAAAATTATTGTTCGGTCAAAAATTTATTTCAAAAAAGCAAGCACATAACCATTGTTTTGAATTGCTGATTGAAATTGTGAAAACAATATATTATCACTCAACGGTCCTTTTGCCATCAAAGAGAATTGTAAGAAAAAAAAACAAACGAGTGCGAGATAATATATCACATACCATTGCAGTAGATACAATGACTTATTTTTTACTTCGTATAAATTTAGATAAAAACTTCAACGTAGATTTAAAAAAGTTTATCAGCTCATGAATACTGCTCCTTCGTGGTAAAAATGAAAGGATTCTCTATCCTTCGCTTTAGGATAATCCTCCTTTAAAAATGAACCCGTCTCTTTTCTTCTGTTGCTTATTTTAATCATTATGTTTTTAATTTTCATTCTATTTTTTGTGTTTAAAATATGTAATACAGAATCTTGATGAGTGTGTTAATATATTAATAAACAACACGAAATACGTCGCCGAAATCAACTGTGTATTTCTTGCATTGTTTTATTCAAACACACTTATTTGTTATTCTGTTGTTATTTATTTTTCGACTTAGTCGATTGTTGAAAAACGAAAGTTAAAACTACAATACTTTTCCACTGTTACAAGATAAGTCGGTCTGTTTTCGATTAATTTACATTCACGCAATCAAAAAACAATCGAGTGGCCATGTCTATAGTGACTCAGTCACTGTTTTCATCCATCTGATCTGGATGTGGGTGTCGATGAAAAGTAGACACACATCTACTGTTCTCCTCCCTCAAAGACCAGTTCGTAACGGTCTAGTAAAATTTTCCAAATGCTAGTTTTTGATCCCATCACAAACTATGATATATGTGGCGCAGTTTTTGCATAGAGTCAAGCCTTTTGAACTTCAATTCCGAGTCCGAAAAACTCTGAAAAATGTGGGTGTTGTAAATGAGCGATAGCCTGTGTGTGTAGAAGTGCGGAGCTATTTATATATTACACTAGTGATTTTTTCACTTGAATTTCTCTGAAATATTCAATTAATTTCATGCACTAATCTTGGTATTTTGGTAATCCTGTAATGCTTTCAATATAGAATTCGATATTTCGAATCGAAAAACTAAGTTAAGCTTTTCTATTAGACATTTATCTTTGGTCCTATGCCCAATCAGGCATTATTATCTAGTGAAATCGATCCTACAATGTTGATTATATTCTATATGAACAATCTCAATATGTAGTCTAACGTTAGTGTAGGACCACAAATCATTTTTGACGTTCTCTTTTGGTTGAGAATCAACTGTGAAGCAGGGATGGACGAGTCAAGCCATTTCTCAGGTCGAGTCACCACTGTTTTCGAGTCAAGTCGAGTTGAGTCAAGCTATTTTTGTCATTTTTTCGCCATTTGCTTATGTTTTTATAAAGAACGTTAACCGCAAATTTTTCAATATACGGGATGGTTTTTATGCACAAAATCTAAAATAGATTACGCATAAAAAATCACACAACTAATATATACGAAGCAACAAAATAAGAACGGTGAAATTAATTCTTCTATCTTGGATAGTGTCACATCATAGTAAAAAAATATAATGTTTTTGTTAGCAAAAACCTAATCTTAAATCTGTTTACCAGCAAAACTTATTCATAACCATTTAAATTAAATGACTTATTGCACTTAAAAGATGTTAGAGTAGAAATATTATCTTTTGTAAAATGGGAAGAATTCAATCTCATTGAAAGACTATTTTGAGAAAACCCATGTTCAATTGATGTTGAAATGCCAGGAACACACATATTTGTTTTAACAAGCTTATTAAGAAACGAATATAATTTTTTTTTATACAAGGTGGTGGATGTGGATGAGGTGAAGACCGCACATTCATACTCTTTGTTGGGAAATAGATAATGTGAAATGAATGATGGGAAATTCTGGTGATCAAAATGCTGTCACACAACAATTACATATATTGTAGTGTGATAAAGAATATGATGCGTGATGCAATGCAAAGTTTTTATTTATTTTATTACATACACGTATAAACGTTTCAGCGATGAGTTACAACCAAGATGCGAAAAAAAAGGCATATATTTGACAATACGCGTAGGCTATGATTTACGACCACATGAATACATAGGTCGAAAAAAGCTCTTGAAAAGATTATTTGGATACAATGTATCAATGAGGACGAAGTTTCTAAAAAAATTGAGAATTCAATCTTACGAAGCAAGGTTTCTTTTTTAAAAGAGCAAATGAAAAGTCTTTTGAATAAATGACTCGGAATCACTCGAGTCAAACAGTCGAGTCAATGCTACCCAATTTTCGAGTCCGAGCCATGACTCGAATTTGCCCATCCCTGGCTCGGCGCATCTTGTGCTACAACTTTTAATCCATGTGGTGTTCCGTATACCATTATTTCTAGTCTCGCTTTAGTTCCATCTTTTTTGACATTAATCATTGAATGGCTTCATTTTCATATTCTTTAGGCCTTTCAACCAGTTGTAGGCAACACTTTGACTAACCGTTGTGATCGGTCTCATCTTCGTTTTATTTCTGATGAACTGGCTAATGAAGAAAGAACGCTTAGTGGGCGTATTTTCTTATGTAAAAATGACGAACAATGTAGTTCCAATAGTTTCAATCATACTATATTGTATCATTCTATTCGAACAGAACGTCTCACAAATGATAAACGGATGATTGCATATTATGTAACAACAACTGATGGTGCTGTTGATATTGCTCAAAACGGTTTTCCCGGTTGATGGTTATCGACAAATGAATCCTGATATCTATTTTACGCCTACCGTCGGGCAATGTGATAATGTTGGAGTAGCAGACTCTATAGCTATTATTTGTGTTCGTCTTAGTCTTAGACATGTTTTGGAAGTACCAAATGATGGTGAACTTATGGTTGGTGCACATGATCATCAACCGCATTTACCACAAACACTGAAAAGCATCTCTTCCGGAAAAATCAAAGTGCGATTTCCTGGACAAATTGAAAATTGGGTAATTGTATTGCACATGAGTGATAACGAAGGATTTGATCCGTCTTATTACGATGGATTTGTCTAATTCTTTATTTGATTATTATTCTAGCGCACTCATTTTTTATCTTTGTTTTGTCTATTCCCTCGACTGAAGAGAAGGTCATATAAAACAAAATGAGTCTGCGTGTGTGTTTGCTTGTATGGTTGCAAGCCCATGTTTAGTCACATGCACACATATTTGGGAGAAAAACGCTTTTTATAAAGCGTTTGCCAAAGATGTGAGTGTAAGTGTGGGTGTCACCCTCTTCTTCGTTCACACCCACACCCACACCGTCTTTGCACTTGTTTTCGCCTATTCGTGATCGGCGTCAACCCGATTCGGGTATAAAACCGATATTCGATTGATGATAAATTAATTCATGCAGAAAATACAACAACTGCAGCTGTAGACATTTTAACTGGTGAGACGAACGTCACTCTACAAGAAACAGTCTGCACGGAAAAAATTGCCGAACTTGAAGATGTGGCTCGTGGTTCTAGTGGTGCAGTGGAGACATTTTGCACATTAGCACGGTTTACTTTGCCTGATGGATGAGCAGAGCGCCGTTTACTTTTTGAATGAACCCATAAAGAAGTCAATAAGTGGACTGAAGAGACTGTAGATTTCTCAGTCGGTGATCAGTTGTCAAAGAAGTTGCCGCTGAACATGAACATGCGCTGGACTGTAACTCGTCGCATCTATGAAAGTGAAGAAAATGACATCGAAGTGATCGCGTTTGATGTAGAGATAATTGTTGTCCTGGAAATGCTTGGTTCACGAGTAATGAGACACAAATGATCAACACGAGAGCTTGATATTGAAATGGGCTTTGTGTTATTCATAGAAACGATGACGAAAACTACTGTAGGATATGATCGAAAGACTGAAATTGAAGTAAAAAGACTTATCAAACGAGAAATGATTGAACTTGAACTATAACATGTACAGGAGTATAACGATAAATTGCAAAAATGGGCCGAACGTAGAACATATTTAATTTGTATTTAAACTATTGCTTTTGTACTATTTAAATATTTGGTAACAATACACTTTGTACAATGGTCAATTCCATCGAATATTACGAACCCAAATATTCATCCAAAAAAAAACACCGATAGAAGATGTCGATGAACTCATTCATTATATAATGGAAGCAGTTGAAAATGAACAATTGTTGGGCTCGTGTAATTGTCTTGTGATTCATAGTTGTATCATACAGATCTTTTTGATTTTTCAAGTTAATTTGTCTCGATATTAACTATGGTCAAGTAGTTTAATATAGTTTTTGTGGTTCGACTCGTGCTGGCAAAGTACTCTTGTTAATGCTTTATGTGAAAAAGAAGTAGCCAAAACCAGTAGTAGTTTGTGTTCAACAACTGATAAAATGAAAAAGTATGTGTTAAATCGAACTTATTAATCAGTGAATAAAGCTGCATGTTCAACTGAATATTCTATCGCGATCTGGGGCACACCGGGTATTGAATCTTGGACTAAAGATAATGTTCAAAAGCATTTGACGAAAGTTATGCTTGAGAGTACACCTCTCTGTATGATTTACTGTGCATCTTCAGGTTCATTTGCTCGCCACGATCGATTAAAAAGGCTTATTGATACATGTATTCAATCAAATAGTTTTTATGCTCTTGTTTGTATGAACAAATACAGTGGAGGAAGTCAACAACGTACTCAATTACTAAATGATTTCCATTCGCTTCTTACTCGTTATTACACTATGACACGTGACGAAAACCAATGTAAAACATTATAGAAATGTTGCTCTTTGTGCATCAGTGAATAGTATTATTTATGAAGATATTAATATTGGTATAAGAAAATGCATTGAAGGTATTCATGAAGATACTGCAAAAGCTCTAATCCCATTGATGATTATGAAAGACATTATGAAGAAAAAATGAGACTTTACCGATTCATATCCGTCTATTGTAACTTTTTGATTCTCATTTTACTTTTCCTAATATATCAGTTGTACTGTTCACGTATGTGTTAAAAACTATTCGTTTTAACTCATTTGTCTCATGAAGTTAGATGCCGAACAAAAACTGATTAATCATATCAACTTCTCCAGATCATTTCACTCTTTCTCTCTAAATATATTGATTTCCAGATTCATGTTCACAATAAAACCAAAAGTGAATTAGAAAATACTACCTGGCATCGGATTACTTGAGTGTGAGCTCAGTTCACATGATCAGAAAATATGATATCTATCTTTCTCTCGCTATCGTCAGAGAGTAAGACAAAGATTTTAATATCTTCATGATTATTTTTTTTTTAATGAATGATTTGTTACCTTATACTCATTATTAGATTGTAGACAAAAAAAAAATTCCTGGTAGAAAAATTCAACCAATTGAACATCCATATTTGCAGTTCATCTCACGCAAATAAGAGTACTCTTATCAATCTTATCTGTCAAACTTATGAGACCAATTCGTGAGATATGACAGGCATCGAATTTTACAATGAGAATGATATTCGTACTTATAAGATATTATTAATTGAAAAAACTCATCCATTATGTATGATGTATGGTGCATAACCTGGTTCTTTCGCCGTAATAGAGCATGTTGCTTGAATGGTCTCTGAATGTCGTCAGAAAAATATTTTCTATGCACTTGTTTGTACAAATATGTGGACCACCTGTAATTCACAAAGTGTCGTAGATGGGTGTGAGTGTCGATATGAAATATTAATCTTATCATTACCCACACACTCACACTCAAGATAGAACAGCAAAAAAAAAACAATTCTATACTGTTCCCGTCAATGCATTTCTGCGCGCAAAAACGACAAGAAACAGAACAGCAGTAATGCGTACATTCTATATAAAAATAAATAAGTAATTAACCATTGTCAACGTAATTCGAGTATAGTAACGTTTCCCATACTCAAAGAAAACAGAAAGGATGTTATTGAAAACGTTTCCTTGAAAAACCTTGCATTCTACCACAAGCCGAACGTAGAATTTGTAACATTAGAATTTAAGCCATCCTTCCTAGATGATTTTGTTTTTAAAGTACCAATCTAATGATCGCTCCATTAAACCAAACAATGAATCATGTGTAAGTAAATATACAAATGAATGAAAATGGTATTGCTTGAATGTGCTGAGCATTTCGGTATAACATACTGGATTCACTAAACCCTGTAAAAATCATGAGTTTTCCTAAGCATCTCTGGATAAATAAATACTAATGCAACTATTTCACTGGTCAAAACTACACTGTATTCTTATATTTTCACCGGAGTATAACAGTTATGATCAATTTTAGTTAGTGAATTAACTGCCAAGCACGACATATACGAAATCCATCCATTCTAGAAACGATCCTACATTCTTCGTACTTTGTCGTATTGCATGGCTCTGTATTACAATTATTTATAAGCGTGCTTGTTAGATTTGTATATTATTGTGAGGAAGGGTACTAGTGTAAAACAAAACTACAACTATTTTATTTTTCTAATATATTTGAAATGATTGATATTTTTTCGAGTAGCCAGGTTTTGTTGTATTTTTGCTCCGTTTTGTGTTAGAATATAACTATCAGTACGCTTAATTTATATGACAAATGCTATTTTTTATTAAGAAACTGTCTTTGTATATTTTTTCATATATTAGACTAATTAGTGACCTGCATTTTTCTTAAGGTAGAGAAAATTTGTCGGAATTTTACAAAAGCGTTTTAACAATTGTTGTGATATTATTCATTGATAACTTTATTTGTAAAAAATTTGATTATAATATTTCTCGGAAGTCTTCTTATAATCGATTAAATTTTATTCATGAATTCTGATTCAACAAATAGAATTGAAATTATAAATTATATCCATAAAACAAAATCGACCGCATTGTACAAATTTTCGCTCTAACATTGATACTTACAACTTATAGAATATTTGTTTGTATTCAATAATAATTAGGCATCGTTGTGATTTACTGATGAAAACAACTTGATACAGAAATGAACAACTAGAAGCTGGCTGAAATCAAAATTAAATAATTGAAACAAATCAAGAAGAAAATCTAATTAGGTCCATTAATGCTAATTTCAAAGTAGCAATAAAATATATATTATATTTAAAATGTATTATCCTATAGTTCTCTACTTATTATGTTCATCTATCTATACTTATAGAAACAATGTTGAAAATAGTAACCGAGATAAAGCTAATCCCGATCGATTTCATTTGAGTAAAAATCATTAAAACAAGTTGTTGATCAACAATGGTATGATGATTATGGCTACTGAGTAGAAATACGACTAGAAATGAATATAAGTTAAATAAATTTGCACAATTTTTTGTAATCATTTTCAATGAAACACTCTCCATTAGGAGCTTTTATTCAAATTTACCATATGTTGAAATAATAATACTGATCATAATTTCATTTGTCAGTATTCAGATTCTCCTATATTATAATGTACGATTATGTCAGATTTCACTGTCTCATTCTTTGATCTAAATAAGTATTGCATATAAAATCATCGTAATACATGTTTGACTGACTAAGGTGTAGATGTCGATGAAGATAGGATCCGCACCTACATCCACTCTACAACTTATCTACACCCAATCGCTCGAAGAGATTTCGATAAAACAATCTCTGTGTTGTTCTTCAAGGTTGCAGACAATTTTTGACAGGTTTCGATTTATTTAAATGAAGAATAGCTACTTATCGTTGGCCTTCTACGTTACAAATTTTTGTAGTCCAGTTTATTGAATGGAATTTACCATGTGTTATTATGGAACTTGTTGATACACCTCTATAAACCAATCCAAGTTGGTTTCTTTAATTCGCAAATATTTGTCGCCATAATAGGTGAAATAAGATTGACCGTAGCCATTTTTATAAATGATAACCGCCCATGTTTTTTCATAAGTGGAGTCAAGCCATGCTTTAAGATCTTGAGCGATTTCAAAGATATTTGATGATCCGTGTGTGTCAATTGAAGTATTAATTGTACTTAAAATATTGATTCTCATCGTATCGGTGATTCCTGAAGCTTGTCTTATAACTTCCC